GCACAACAGAATCCTGATCCACAGAAGAGTGTCTCTTTTCCCAGGGTGTCCATAAATATACTGGAAGCAGGCCACACCCCGAGGGAAACTCCTTTCAACGGATTGGCTGCTCAAAACATATTCATCTGATCCCATCATGGCAATAACTACATCACAACTGCTTAAACCACACAGACCTGTGGTCCAGCCAAGTTGACACACAGCTCCTGCTATCACAGCAAACAATGAGAGAAGGTGGACTAAATGAAGAAGAATGTGGCGTCAGGATTGGTGGAAGGCTCATTAACAACCTGTGATATAAAGATGACACAACCTTGCTTGCTGAAAATGAAGAAGGCTTGAAGCACTTACTGATGAAGATCAAAAACTACCACTTTCAGTATGGATTACTCTTCAAAATAAAGAAAACAAAAATCCTTACAACTGGACCAATAAGCAACATCATGATAAACAGAGAAAAGATTGTAATTATCAAGGATTTCATTTTACTTGGATCCACAATCAACACCCATGGAAGCAGCAGTCAAGAAATTAGATGAAATCAAAGATGTATGGAAACAATCCAATGGACTAATGAACCATGGGGAACGCTGGTAGTGTAGTGCCTAAAGCACTTGACTGCTAACCAGAAGGCTGGCGGTTCAAATGCACCAGCCACTCCTCAGAAGGAAGATGGGGCAATCTATTTCCGTAGCGATACTGAGTCGGGTCCGACTCGACGGCACACAACAACAATGAACCATAAGAACCTCAACCTATCTGACGCTAAGACCAAAAGAATAAGATGGTGCCCAGCGACTGATGCCAACCACTTGGAAAAGGATCAAAATTGGAGATCCCATATAGAATAGGAGAAAAATGTGGGGGAAAAAAATGAAAATTCACACACACAAAAAAAGACCAGGCTTACTGGTCTGATGGAGACTGGTGAAACCCTGAGTCACCCTTTGGGCCTGGAACTGAACTCACTCCCATGGCTTAACTCTCTGCCAAATGAAAGACAGGCCTATGAGCTGAACACCTTAGAACAATCAACCATAGGAGATCAGAAGGGCAGCGTTTGTACAGGAGGAAAGGTAGGAAGGTGGGGAGGCAGGAATGCAGAGACAAGAAGGGCACAGGGATATGATAACCACAGGAAAGAAGGAAAGGGGCAAAAAAAAAAAAAAAGAGAAATCAAATGACTGGCAAATCTGCTGCAAAGGCATTATTTAAAGTGTTAAAGAGCAAAGATGTCCCTTTGAAGGCTGAGGTACCTGACTCAAGCCATGGTATTTTCAGTCACCTCATATGCACATGAAGAGTGGGCAATCTACTTCCGTAGAGATACTGCTTCGGAAACCCAAGGAAGGGTTGCTATGAGTCGGGACCCGCTTGATGGCAGTTTTTTTTTTTTTTTTTAATTGTGATTTGGGTGAAGGTTTACAGAGCAAATTCACTTTCCATACAGAAGTTCACACACACTGTCTCATGACATTGACCACAGTTTACCACAATGCAACAGCTCCCCTCCCCCTTCTTCCCCATAATTACCTCTTCCCTGTGTCCATCCCTCCATGGACTCCTGCCCCCTGAGCTGTCTCACTGTGCATAAGCAGCCCTTCTTCCTCCCATGATAGTTCTCTCCAAGGAGTGTATCTACTTGTAGTTTTTTTTTTTTTTTAATATGCAAGCAAAAGCTGGAATGACTAAGGAAGATGGTATAATTGGTGCATTTGAATTATGGTGTTGGTGAAGTGGAGACTATAGCATTGACTGCCAAAGAACGAACATATCTGCCCTGGAAGAAGTGCAGCCAGGCTACTCCTTAGAAATGAGAATGGCCCAATTTCGTGTCTTGAGATTTCGTCATGTTAGCAGAAGGTGCCAGTCCCTGGAGGATGTCATGCTTGGTAAAGCAGAGGGTCACCAGAGAAGAGAAGGCCCTCAGCGAGACAGAGCGACACAGTGGCTGCGCAGACGGGCTCAGGCGTGGCAACAATGGTAAGGGCGGTGCAGGACCAGACAGTGTCTTATTCTGTTGTACGTAACAGGGTCGCTGTGAGTCTGAGGCAACTTGAAGGCACCTATCGACAGTGCAAAAAAGTGAGATACCTCTTTTTTCTTAGAGCATTTAATTTAAACAACTTATCATTGTAAATTCTTTCTCTGACTCTTTGCATGCAAATCTTTTTTAAAAGTTAATACTCTGAGCCTTTTGTCAATTTTACAATCCAGGAATATTTTACAAATCTAAAAGTCATGTCTTTGAAATGTAATCCTCAATGAATCTAGAGCTCTTCTGTCTGTCTGTGAGAGAGTAGAGCTTGACTTTGGCAGGTGGTGTAGTGGCAAAGGCATTTGGCTGCTAACCAGAACCAAAAAAAAAAAAAAAAAAACCAAAACCCACTGCCATCTAGTCTATTCTGACTCATAGCTACCCCCACTGGGTTTCTCAGGCAGGAAATCTTTATGGAAGTAGACTGACCCATCTTCCTTCCAGAGAGTGGCTGGGGGTGTTTGAACTACCAACCTTATGACTAGCACTCAAATGCTATAGGCACTGCACTACCAGAACTCCTTGCTAACCAAAAAACTGGTGGTTAAAACCCACCAGCTGCTTAGTGGGAGGATGATGAGGCAATCTATTTCAGTGAAGATTTACAGCCTTGGAAACCCAATGAGGCTCCTTATGACTCAGAATTGACTCAGTGGCAGTGGGTTTAGCCTCACGTGGCAAAAAAGGAAACAAAAAACTACCTCCTGTGCTGACCAGAAGGCTGGCGGTTCAAACCCACCAGCAACTCCTCGGAGCAACGATTGGGCAATATATAAAGATGGCAGAAATGTATTTTGCCTTCGGGTTAAGGTAATTAGCAAACACCTAATTCCCAGGCAAATTTAGGACACACTCTGCGTTTATCTATTTCCCTAAAGATTGCTCTTGTTGGGCACCTTGGATTTGGTTCCGACTCACAGTGACCCTATGTGGCAGAGAACTGCCTACGCTGTCACCTTTCCAGTAGCTGATCACCAGATCTTTTCCCCAAGGAGCTTAGCAGCCAAAACCTCAACTATTGCGCCACCAGAGCAAGGAAACCTACAGGGCAGTTGTACCCTGTCATACGGGGTTGCTAAAAAAACCAAACCAAACCTACCGCGGTGGAGTCGGATCCCACTCATAGTGACCCCTCCTCGGTTTCCGAGGCAGTAGGTCTCCAACAGCAGGACAAACTTGTCTGTTGGTTTGTCCTACTGTGGTGACATGTAGAGGTAACAGCCCAGTTTACAGACTGAGACAGACTAGGAAGAAGGAAGAGGCTGTCCACTTCTGAAAGAATTGGCCAGGGAAAACCTTATGAATAGCAAAGAAACACTGTTTGGTATCTCATTGAGGACTAAGGGGCGCCTGACACAAGCCATGATATTTCCAATCGCCTGGTATGCATGTGAGAGCTGGACAATGAATAAGGAAGACCGAAGAAGAGTTGATGCTTTTGAGTTGTGGTGCTGGCGAAGAATGCTGAAAGTACCGTGGACTGCTAAAAGAACTAACAGATCTGTCCTGGAGGAAGTGCAGCCAGAATGCTCCTTGGAAGCAAGAATGGCCAGACTTTGTCTCACCTATTTTGGTCATGTTGTAAGAAGGGACCATTCCCTGGAGAAGGATGTCATGCTTGGTATGGTGGAGGGTTGACCAAAGAGGGGGAGGCCTTCAAGGAGATGGATTGATACGGAGGCTGCAATGATGGGCTCAAGTATAGCAAGGATTGTGGGGCTGGCACGGGATTGGGCAGTGTTTCGTTCTGCTGTGCACGGGGCGGCTATGAGTCGGAAACGACTCCACGGCACTTAACAACAACAACAATAGTATCACTATGGAAGGAGATTGCCCAACCTTCCTTCCGAGGAGTGGCTGGTGGATTTGAACCACCAGCCTTCTGGTTAGCAGTCAAATGCCTTAGGCACTACGCCACCAGACAAAATCGATCCCCCAGGAACCACAACCACACCAACAAAAAACATAACACCAACACTAAGACATAGTAGACAGGCAGGGCCCCGTAGCAGCCAGGCGGAGCTTGACTTCCGGGTCACGCGCACGCTGCGTACCGCGTCACCGCGCGTCGCGCCCCGTGTGTAGAGAGCAAGCTTTCCGCGCGAACTTCTGAAGAGGGCGGGAGAGGCGGAGCTGCCGGGTGTACGTGCCCGGGCTGGGCCGTGGGTCTCCGGGACCGCAGCCTGAGGACTGGGACTCCTGATCTGAGCGCCTCCGAGGTGTTTGTCAACCTTCTCCAGACGAAGGGACCCGCTGGAGCCGGTCAGTGGCGGCGGGCGGAGACAGACATGGCCCCGTAGCATCGGCCGCCTGGTCCCCTCAAGGGTCGTGGCGGGGACGCCTCTCGTGCGGGGGTCGGAGCCAGGCCTGGGGGTCTTTGGGGGTCTGCTAACCCCCTCCCTTGGCTGGGAGGAAGGAGAGGCCACGGGCTCCCAGTCCGCCCGCCGGAAACCTCGCCTTTGCACCCAGGGTTTGTCCTCACCTGTCCCCCACGTCCGGGTCGGTACTTGACGGAATATTTCTATTTGGGGAGCTGTTTTACAGCCCAGAGGGCACACCGCGTCTGCCTGCCCCGCCCCCAGGTGATTGGCATCTTCCGCAGATGGACAGATTTCCAATTGTCAGCCCGTGTTGATCGCCGACTGGCACCACTAGGGGCCGGTGAAATTAAAATTAACTCACATTGAAAAATCCTGGTTTTGAGTCGCGTTAGTCACGTTTCCAGTGGCCCATGGCTAAGATGGAGGTAGTGGCCCCTGGATTGAGTGGCACAAATACAGGATGTTCCCATCATTGCAGGGAAGTTGGACCCCAGTAAACAGTTAATTTTCAGGCGAGTTTAGCAGCACTTCCTACTGTACCTTAGAGTCACTTCCCAAGGACTGTACTTCGCTGAAGCGTATTTTGGTCTTCTCTTTTGCAGAATTATTTCTCAAGCGTTGGAATAATACCATAGACAAAGATGCCTGTTGGATCCAAAGAGAGGCCAACCTTTTTTGAGATTTTTAAAATGCGATGCAAGGAAGCAGGTATTGGTGGGTTTCATATAATTGGATATACATGACACTGAAAATGTTTTCAGAAAAATATGTTAAGGTGCGTGATTTGCTAAAAAGAACCCAATGCGTTGTATTTTTGTTTCTACTTTGTTCCTTATGGAATTGTATACATCCAGTTAAGGACATCATTGTAGTTAACAAAATGATAAGTATAGAATCCCTGCTTGGTGGGTAAAGAGGAGACTGTCCCTTTGATTAGTGGTGGGAAGAATTGTTTTTAAAGCACTTCTAGGAACCCTGGTGGTACAGTGGTTAAGCATTTGGCTGCTGGCTGCTAAACATTGCTGGCCACTAATCAGTCTTTGGAAGAAAGATGTGGCAGTCTGCTGCCATAAAGATATACAGGCATACATTGGAGATACTGCAGATTGGCTTGCAAACCACCACAGTGATGTAATTATCACAATAAAGTGAGTCACAGCAGATTTTTGTCTCCCAGGGTGGTTGGGCATTCCTATTTCCGTAGTGATACTGCCTCAGAAACCCACTGAGGGGTCACTATGAGTTGGGGCCAACTCGATGGCAAACAACAACAACAACAGGGTGTATTCAAAGATACATTTACACTATAAACTCACCAAATCAAACTCACTGCCATCAAGTTGATTCTGACTCAGCAACCTCCGTAGGGTTTCCAGGGCTGTAAATCTTTATGGAAGCTGATTATCTCATCTTTCTTCCATGGAGTGGCTGGGGGGTTTGAACCACCAACCTTTTGTTTAGCAGCCAAATACCTTAACCACTACACCAGCAGAGCTCTTTATGTTTACACTTTACTGTAGTGCCTAAGGCATTTGACTGCTATCCAGAAGGCTGGCAGTTCAAACCCACCAGCCACTCCTTGGAAGGAAGACTGGGCATTCTGTAGAGATACTGCCTCGGAAACCCAAGGAGTGGTCACACCGTGAGTTGAAACTGACTCGATGGTAGTAAGTTGGGTGGTTTTTTTTTTTGTAGTCTATTAAGTGTGCAATAGCATGACGAGAATGTTTGAAATACTGTGAATGAACAAAATGGGACATAGAGACAAGGAGCGAGCAATACTGTTGACAAAATGTTGCCTGCAGACTTTCTCAACTCAGGGTTTCCCACACACCTTCAATTTGTGTTAAAAAGAAAAAAAATGCCTATCTCCAAAGCACAATAAAATGAAGCTCATTAAAATGAGGTCTGCCTGCACAGCCTTGGAAACCCATGGGACGTTTCTTCTCTGTTCTCTGGGGTCAGGACAGTTTGCAGTCATAAGCAGACATGCTTCCTGCATACTTCCTATTTTGTCTCACAGCATAAAAAAGATGTGTCAAAGGGTGGTGCTTTAATAAAATTAAATTTGTATTATTTCACTGAGTACACTGGTATTTCTTTCTTTTTTAAATTGCAACCTCATGGTCAAAACCAAACCTATTGTTACGGAATCAATTCTGACTCCTAGTGACCCTCTAGGAGAGCATAGAACTGCCCCCATAGAGTTTCCTTTTGGAAGCAGACAGCTGCATCTTCCTCCTGTGAGGCTGGTACGTTTGAACCACTGTCTTTTTGGTTAGTAGCCAAGCACTTAACCACTGTGTGTGCCACCAGTGTTCCTTTCAAGTGCACGATAGTGAAGAGTAAAATGATAACTAGTACATTTTGGTGCCATAGCCTTGACTCATGCTAAGGTCTGACAGTTTCACTCACCATTGTTTTTGCATCCTTAGTGCTAATGTCAGCACAGTGAAAAGGCAGATAATGTCCTTGTCTTATTATCAGAATTGCTTTGACCTTGTGGACCTCCTGAAAGGGTCTTGGGGACTGGCCCCCAGTGGTCCATGGACCATACTTGGAGAACCACTGCTTTACAGGATGGATAGATCATAGAAATTTTAGCATTTTTTTCTAACAGAAAACCTTTCCTCTGCTTTCTTTGACAGTCTTCATGTTCTGTATACCCATAGCCGTGCTACATACACTGATGTAGTCTTTATAATTATTTGAGTTATATCTCTGGGGTGCATTCTTACTGGGAATGATTTTTGGTCCTAATTTGTGAATGCAAGAGAGCAAGACAACTGTAGAAAAGCTAATATGGCTAAGATACTGTTCCTTGTAACTTGTGAACTCGTTATACTTTACTACAGATTCATAAGGGAATGGATTAATAGTTATTTAAATTAATAACCCTCAACCAAAATAATTCCCAGTCAGATCTCAAGCATTTTTTTAAAAATTTTGATCTTTACTCTATAAGTTTCTGGACCTTTCTGTGTTACTGATTGAAACCAAGCTGGAATTTTTATGTTTCTTACAGATTTAGGACCGATAAGCCTTAATTGGTTTGAAGAACTTTCCTTAGAAGCTCCACCATATAAAACGGAACCTGTAGAAGACTCTGAATATAAAATCAGCAGTTATGAACCAAACCTCTTCAAGACACCACAGAGGAAACCCTTCTGTAATCAGTTGGCATCAACTCCCATCATATTCAAAGATCAAGGTATGACCTTAACACTGTACCAATCTCATTTAAAATAATTATTTAAATACAGGTTAAGATCAAACCCGTTGCCGTTGAGAACAAAACACTGCTGAGTCCTGTGCTGTCCTCACGATCCTTACTGTGCCTGAGCCCATCGTCGCAGCCACTGTGTCAACCCATCTCATTGAGGGTCTTCTCCCTTTTCACTGACCCTCTACCTTACCAAGCATGATATCCTTCTCCAGGAACTAGTCCCTTCTGACAGCATAACCAAAGTAGGTGAGACAAAGTCTGACCATTCTCACTTCTAAGGAGCATTCCAGCTATACTTCTTCCAGGGCAGATTATTCATTCTTCTGGCAGTCCATGGTATTTTCAGTATTCTTCACCAATACCACAAATCAAAGGAATCAAACTCTTCTTCGGTGTTCCTTATTCATTGTCCAGCTCTCACATGCGTATAAGGAGGTTGACAATACCGTGGCTTGGGTTAGGCACACGTTAGTCTTCAAAGTGATTTATTTGCTTGTTAACACTTTAAAGAAGTTCTTTGTAGCACATGTGCCCAATGCAATATGTCTGATTTCTTTCTTTCTTTTTTTTTAATGACTTTTTTAAAAATTTTTTTGTGATTGGGTGAACGTTTACAGAGCAAATTCACTTTCCATACAGCAAGCAGCTCACATACACTTTGTCTCATGACAATGACTGCAATTTCCCACAATGCAACAGCTCCCTTCCCACTTCCTACCTGTCGCGGCTGGCGCGACAATTCTAGAACAGGGGGTAAGAGAATGAGGTAAGAATGAGAGAAAAGTTAAAGGATGGGAACGGGAGGGACACTCAGAGCCATTGCAAAGCAGTGCCAATTTTATTATGATTATTCTCAAACTTACATACAAGTTTAACATGGGAAAAGTGCACAATTCATATGTCATACAATCAATCACAAGTTAATCAATATTGGGAAAAGTATATGCATAAACAATTGGCATATTAAAATTTAACCTAACATTCCTGTTCCCATAAATCAAGTTGCCACAACTCAGGTCACCATAACCTCTTAAATTCTATACTCATTCTTCTATATCCCCTAGAAACCTGTGTTTCCTGGCAACTTATATAGTTTAGATTGGCTTCCGCATATTCTGGGTTCAATCAAAGGTTATGCCTCTTTTGCACCTGCTGTTTCTCTGAACAATGCAAGGGAGAAAATGGCTGATGATATCCCAAGAACAGGGCTCAAACTTCAGGGACACTTAACAGCATCAACCCACAAGCCTTAGGGCCTATCAGTCCTAGTCCTTATGGGGACACTGAAAGTATCAACCTATTTATGAGAGCCGTTGCTCAATTAGCCACTCACCATGTCCCAAACAGTCCTTTAAGACTTAGGGCTCTCCACACCTACCCATAGTTACCTCTTCCCTGTGTCCTTCCCATGTACTCCTGCCTTCTGAGAGCTGACTCCCTATGCGTACACTGCTCTTCTATTCTCCCATGATGGATCTCTCCAGGAGGTGTATCTACCTACTGTAAATCTTCAGCTCATATACCTGTCTTTTGTTTGGCTGGAAGCCACAGGAGTGGGTTCAATTCCAGACCTGAAGGGCAGGTGGGGCCATAGTCTCAGTGTTTCCATCAGGCTCTGTCAGACCGTAAACCTGGTCTTTCTTTTTCTTTTTTTTTTAATGACTGTGAGTTTTGTTCCACGGTGTTCTCTCACTCTATTCAGGGTCTCCTACATAGATCCGCCTCTGAGTGATTGACAGTGGTTCTTCTGGTGTCATAGTCGTATAGGCTGAGGATAGCATGGTGTACCAGTTGCTTGGACTGATTGTTTCTATGTGTCTTTGATTTTCTTCTCTCATGTGTGATTTCTTGACTGCTGCTTCCAAGGGTGTTGATTGTGGATCTAAGTAAAATGATATCCTACTTATCTACAATCTTTATTCCATTTATCATGATGCTGCTTATTGGTCTAGTTGTGAGGATTTTTGTTTTCTTTATGTTGAGATGTAATCCATACTGACGGCTGTAGTCTTTGATCTTCATCAGTAAGTGCTTCAAGTCATCTTCACTTTGAGCAAGCAAGGTTGTGTCATCTGCATGTCGCAGGTTGTTAACGAGTCTTCCTCCAATCCTGATGCCTCATTCTTCTTCATATTGTCTGGCTTCTTGAATTATTTGCTCAGCATACAGATTGAATAAGTATGGTGAAAGGGTACAACCTTGGCACACACTTTTCCTAATTTTAAACCACATAGTATCCCCTTGTTTTGCTTGAATGACAGCCTCTTAGTCTGAGTGTATGTTCCTATGAGCACTGTTAAGTGTTCTGGAATTAACATTCTTCACAATGTTATCCATAATTTGTTATGATCCACAAGGTTAACATCTTTCTGGTGTTCTTTCCTTTCAGCCAAGATCTGTCTGACATCAGCAATGATATCTATCATTCCAGGTCCTCTTCTGAATACAGCTTAACTTTCTGGTAGTTCCCTGTCAATGTACTGTTTTTGGATTATTTTCAGCAAAATTCTACATGCATGTGATATTCATGACATTGTTTGTTAATTTTTGCATTCCATTAATTACCTTTCATTGGAATGGGTATATGGATCTCTTCCAATTGGTTGGTCAGGTAGCTGTCTTCCAAATTTCTTGGCTCAGAGGAGTGAGCCATTCCAGCATTGCATCTGCTTGTTGAAATATCTCAATGGGTATTCCATCAATTCCTGGAGCCTTATTTTTCACTAATGCCTTCAGTGCAGCTTGGACTCTTTCTTTGCGTACCATTTGTTCTTGATCATATGCTACCTACTCAAATGGTTGAATGTCGACCAATTCTTTTTCATACAGTGACTGTATTCCTTCATCTTCTTTTGCTGCTTCCTGCATCATTCAATAATTTGTCCTGCAGTCCTTCTGTATTGCATCTTGAGACTTAAATTTGTCTTCAGTTCTTTCAGCTTGAGAAATGCTGTGCTTGTTCTTCCCTTTTGGTTTTATAACTCCAGTTCTTTATACATTTCATTATACTACTTTACTGTATCTTTACTGTATCAAGCCACCCTTTGAAATCTTCTTGTCAGCTCTTTTATATCATCATTTCTTCCTTTTGCTTTTAGCTACTGTATGTTCAAGAGTAAGTTTCAGAGTTTCTTCTGACATCCATTTTGTCTTTTCTTTTTTCCCTGTCTTTTTTCTATAATTTGGGTGAAAGTTTACAGAGCAAATTTACTTTCCATACAGCAACTTACATACACTTTGTCTTATGACATTGACTACAATTTACCACAATGCAACACCTCCCCTCCCACTTCCTACCAATAGTTACCTCTTCCCTGTGTCTTTCCCTTCCATGCATTCCTGCCCCCCGAGGTGTCTCTCTGTGCATACACAGCCCTTCTATTCTCCCGTGATTGTTCTCTCCAAGTAGTGTGTCTACCTAATGTAAATTTTGCCTCCTATGCCTGTTTTTTGTTTGGGTTCAATTCCAGACCTGAAGGGTAGCTAGGGGCCATAGTCTCAGTGGTTCCATCAGGCTCTATCAGATTGGCAAACCTGGTCCCTTTTTTTTTTTAATGATTTTGAGTTTTGTTCCACATTGTTGTCCAGAATCTCCTACATAGATCTGCCTCCAAGTGGTTGATAGTGGTAGCCGGGCACCATCTAGTTCTTCTGGTCTCATAGCCATGATGTTATTCTTTAGGGTTGCATAATATTCCATTGTGTTTATATACCATAGTTTGGTTATCCATTCTTCAGTTGATGGACACCTAGCTTGTTTCTATCTTTTGGCTATTGTGTACGCTGAGGATCGCATAGTATACCAGTCACTTAGACTAATTATTTCCTTGAATCTTTGGTTTTCTTCATTCTTCTTTGCTCTGGATGAGGAGAGGCCCTTAGTTGCATATAGAGGGCCGCTTGGAAGGTTTTAAGATCCCAGTCACTATTCGCCAAAGCAGAATGTGGAACAATGTTTTGGGTATTATGTTATGCCAGTTGAGCTTGATGCCCCCTACCACTATGGTCCTGAGCCCACAGGTCCAACTATTCACTCCCTCTGGGTAGCTGGCTGTGGCCAAAAAGTGACTACAACCTTGTCCCTTGTCAGCTCTACTATATACCTGGGAATTCTTATAGAACATATCTATACACTTGTAGAGACATTGTCTGCCAACCCTACACATGGTCTTGGGCACACTCCCCCCTGCAGAGACATACCTAATAGTTCAGCCTGTCCACCCATATACCTGTGTTTGCCTTCACTGACAATGCAGTACTGTATGTGCAAAAGGACTCATCTTTGTTGTCTGTACCTCCCATGCACTCTCTGTTTCCTCTTTCTCAGTGCCACCTTGTTGATCCCTCACATTTGGTACATTGCCCTTCTCTTCACTCAAATCAATACTTGTCTCTACCTATCTACCAGTGTTTCCTTCTCTTCCCTCCCACCCCTGGTAACGAACAAAGAAAATTTCGTTCCATATATAAACCTTTCCTTAACTTATTACAGTAACGGACTAATACAATATTTGTCCTTCTGTGATTAACTTATTTCTCTCAGCATAATGTCCTCCCAAGTTCATCCACTTTATGTGATATTTTACAGATTCTGTGTTATTCTTTGG